GCCTCGGCCTGGCGCACCAGCTGGTCGTGGAGGGACTGCCGATGACCGCGAGAGCCAGCCTTCGCCTTGCCCCAGCGCCACAGGGCCCGCCAGCAACGCAGGAATCCAGCCCAAGCCTCCGTGCTGGAGGTGTCGAGCTTCCGCTGCTTGGCCTGGTGGAGCTCGCTGAGCGGCTTGGGCGCCATCTTGATGCCCTTGCCACGGCCAAGGTAGTGCCGAACACTGGCCGACTCCACCTCCAACTTCTTTACCAGGCGCCGCTCCGCTAGGTCAAACCAGCGGCTGCAAGCCGACGCCAAATCCTCCAGCGGCTCCGACAGCTCAGCCAGCTCGGCCTCCAACGCCTCCGCGGGCACCTGTAGCTTCAGGATCGCGCCCTTGGTCTCGGGGAGGCTGAAGGCTCTGCGCGGGTCCTCGACCCGCACCGCGGGGGCCGTCCAGAAGTTCTGGAGGCGCAGGCTGACGCAACAGTGCGTGCCGACCGGTGTTTCCGACAAAGTCTGTGGCGCCTCCGCCCGATGCGCCAGCGTCGACGAGACCGCGAAGAAATCGTGCTCTGATGGCCCGCAGGTCGGCATGTCCGACGCCAGCAGCACGCCCCCGGCTTGATCAACCCAGCGGGACGCCAGGAGCACCTCTGGCTCGACGTTCCAGTCGGCCCCTATCAGGAAGGGCTCGTGCCCTATCAGGCCGCCCACGTGCTCCAGCAGGTCCATGTTCTCACCGCCCAGGCCAATGGACGTGACCAGGTACAGGGACACCAGGAGCAACGCGCGCGCGCCGCACGATGACGCGGTGGGCCCAGCGCTCGTCGACGCTAGCCGCCTGGCCGACGCCGATGCAGTTGGACTCCGCGATGCCCACGCCGCCCGAGACCTCTAACCGCCCTGGCCCCGTGCGCTGGACAGGCCCCTGGGCCAGCTGCATGCCCTGCCCGGCGCGCCACTGGTGGGCAGAACCGACCATCTCATCGTCGAAGAACCAAGTCTCCTGGACGAACAGGATGTCGGGCCGCCTCCCTCGCGCCTGCGGCCACTCGCCGACTGCTCTGGCCCCGGCCCAAGTGTCGGCGTTGATGGTGCCAACTGTCAGCGCATCGGCCGAGAAGGGCTGGACCGCGGGCAGCAGCTCATTGAGCTTCAGCGCGACCTGCGCGGAACATGGACTCGATGCAGACCTCGCAGTGAAACCGCCCGCAACCTTGATCCGCGCAGTGCGCGGCGCCGGAGGCGGGCGCCACGCCGCCGATGTGTGACGGGCGGCTCGCGCCGGAAGATGGCGACGCCGAAACCGCGTCTCCCCACCCAGGTCGAAACCGCGTCTCGATAGGAACTGGGTTTTCGAGCTGCCGAAGAAGTCGAATCCGCGTCTCGACAGGAACTGGGTTTTGTAGCTCCTGCGGGGAAATTTGCGTCAACGAGGTCCGAGCCGAGCACGAAGAGCACGCGCTCGGCGGGCTGCGCCGCCTGCGCAATCTGAACCGTAGCCAACATCATCATCAGCGACGTCACGAACCTAGTAGGGGCCCACGCCATGGGCTCCCTGGGGCTGCGGGCGGCCTGGCACCGCGGAGGCCGCACGCATCCGCTCAAAGGCTTGCTGCACCTCCGGCTCGCCCTCAGGGGCCGGGATGCCAGCTTGCCCCAGTCGCGTCCGCATCTCACCAAGATCGAAGACAGGCTGCTGGGGCTGGGAGCCTGCGATGCCTGGGCCTGGCTGCTCAGGCGGGGCGAGATGTCCCGCGGCCGTCTGCCTGGGCCCAACGGCGGCGGCAGCGTCGATGGCTCCGCCCGCCGGTGCTGCCGCGGCGGTCGGCACCACCTGCACGAGCTGCTGCTGCGCGCAGGTGGGCAGCTTGGCCGCCAGCTGCTGCGCAACGGTCGTCTGGTCAGGGACGACCACCCCGAGCTCCTCCAGCAACTTAGCCAGCTTCTGCGTGTCCAGCTGAGGGGCCGAGACGCAGACGGGGCCGAGGGGGGCGACGGGCGGCGCGGCCGCGTCCGACGGCGCAGCCGCCACGAGGACGGCCTCCTGCTTCTTGAGGTCGGCAAGCTCCGCCTCGGCCACGACCAGCTCCTGCTCGTGCCGGCCGATGTCGGTCTGCAACTCGGCCAACCTGGCGCGCTTGGCCTCCAAGTCGCTCGTGGTCTTCTGCAGGCCGCGCTCGCTGGACTCGATCTGGCGCAATAGCATGCGCATCTGCTGACAGTGAGGCTGCGCCGAACGGAGCTCCGCCTGCAGCTGCGCCTGCTCCGCCGCGAGAGCCTTGGCCATGTTCTGCCAGGCCTCGCCGCTGAAAGCCCTGGCGGCGGCCAGCTCCTTGTCGATGGCCGCGAGGCGCTGGCGGGCCTTTCGCTGGTTCGCGCCGCCGTCGACGTCCATGTCGCCCTCGCCTGTCCCAGCGGGCGGCGCCGACTTGGCCTGCTTGAGCTCCGCCTGCAGCTGCTTGACCTGGGCCGCAAGTTTGGCCACCGACCAGGGCGCGGCCGTGCCGCTGCTCGTGCCCTGGCCGACGGAGACCGACGGCTCCTTGAGCGCGACGTACCCTGCGAAGCACGAACCTTTGGGCTGCTTGCAGGAGAAGCAGCTCTCATTCTCCGCGAAGTTGAGAAATTGTTTGCCGGACCGATCGTGCTTGCACTGGCGACAAAACCATTTCCTCTGGTGGACGGGCGGCGGCACCATCGCACCTGCAGACCGGTTCGGCGAGGGGCGCGCCAAGCCGCACGGCAACTCGAGGACCCCGGCCGGGGCTGCTGATCCCTCGAGCCCCGTGGGGCCCCAGAAGAAGACAGTGATCTGCCGTGGTCTAGCGGTATCTCTGCTGGCCTGGAGGCTGGAAGCCTCCCAAGCATGGTGTCTTGAGCCAAAACGGCTACGGAGAGGAGGAGGAGGAGGAGGAGGAGGAGGAGGAGGAGGAGGAGGAGGACGAGGAGGAGGAGGAAGGAGGACGAGGAGGGGGAGGAGGGGGAGGAGGAGGACGAGGAGGGGGAGGAGGGGGAGGATGATGATGATGGACGACAATGGGAGGACGATGATGGAGGCCGATGAGGGGGAGGACGACACTGGGAGGACGATGATGGAAGGACGAGGGGGGGAGAGGGAGGACGAGGAGGAAGAGGAGGAGGAGGAGGACAAGGTGGAGGAGGAGGATGACGATGACGATGACGATGAGGACGAGGACGAGGACGAGGAAGAGGAATAGGATGAGGATGAGGATGAGGAGGAGGAGGAAGAGGAGGAGGAGGAGGAGGAGGAGGAGGAGGAGAGCGCCATCGACAAGGAAGGTGGGGGCCACGAGGTCCGCCGGCTCGACGACGCCCGCGTCGCCCGCGCCCGCCCCCTCACTCTTATCCGCAATTGCGGGGTGCTACGTAGTATAAGTGTGTTGGGGCGACGCCGAACTTCACCCGACAATCGCACGATCAGCGGACAGGCTGGCCCAGTCCCGCCGAGCCCCGCGGTCGGCAACAGCTGGGCGCCCGAGGCCCCCTCTTCCCCATCGACGCGCCCGGCGCGCCGTCCCGCAACCGACCGGGGCGCGCCCGACGCCACCGCCGCCGCCCCGCCAGCCACGGGCGAAAAGGCTGCGGAGAAAGCGGGGAACACCACAGAATGAGCCAACATGGCTACGGAGGTGGACAAGGAGGAGGAGGAGGAGGAGGAGGAGGAGGAGGAGGAGGAGCGGAGACGGAGGAGGGAGGATGAACAAACACGACGGGGGGGAGGCGGGAAGAGACAGCAGAAGGGACCCCAAAGCCCAGAAAGGCCAGCGCAGCACTCGTGGAGAAGAGCGGGAGGAGGGGGAATGAGCATGAGAGGACGGCGGGCAGAAAGACCAAACGGGGGGCAATTTAGGCTTCGCCGGGTACGGGAAGGTCTCCTGGTGCTGAACCTCTGGTCTACCGCCGCCAAACACCCACCATCCTTTTCGATTGTTTTTCTCTCTCTCTCTCTCGTTCTCTCTCTCTCTCTCTTTCTCTCTTACTGTGTTTTTCTCTCTCTCTCTCTCTCTCCCTCCTTCCACCCTTCCCTCCTCCTCCTCCTCCTCCTCCTCCTCCTCCTCCTCCTCCTCCCTCTCCTCCTCCTCCTCCTCCTCCCCCTCCTCCTCCTCCTCCTCCTCTCTTCTTCCTCTCCTCCTCCTCCTCCTCCTCCTCCTCCTCCTCCTCCTCCCCCTCCTCCTCCTCCTCCACCTCCTCCTCCCTCCTCCCTCCCGCTCCTCTTCCTCCCCCTCCTCCTCCTCCTCCTCCTCCCACTGCGAGGCAGAAGTGACCTGGCTACCCCCCTCCGCTCAACCCGTTTCCAGGAGCCACTGGTGGGGGGGAGGTCAAGCCGAGGGGCCTGTCCCAACCCTCTCTGCCTGAGCATGGCACGAGGGAGAGGAGACCTGGTAGAAGCAGGGCCTGTGCCCCAGAGAGGTCCTGGTGGAAACGGGGCCTGGGACCCCGAGCCTTCCCAGGACTTGCCCTTCATCCCGAGCCGTTCTTGACACTACCCGTGCACAGGAGGAGCCCCTCGCCTGACAACAGCGAACAGCCTCTGGCAACCCTTTCTTGCACGATCCCTCTCTTCACACTGACGGGGGAGAGCACAGGGCCTGCCCCAACCCTGTCTGCTATGAACCCCCTCAGCAGTGTCCGATCCAGGGCAGACGCACGGACCACGCAGCGCTGTCTTACGGTAGCCGCTGGCCCGAAAGCACGGTTTCCCCCGTGGCCGCAGGCGACCCGACGAGGAGGAGGAGGAGGAGGAGGAGGAGGAGGAGGAGGAGGAGGAGGAGAAGGAGACGAAGGAGGAGGAGGAGGAGGAGGAGGAGGAGGAGGAGGAGGAGGAGGAGGAGGGAGGAGGAGGAGGAGGAGGAGGAGGAGGAGGAGGAGGAGGAGGAGGAGGAGGAAGGAGAAGGGATGGGGGAGGAGTAGGAGGAGGACGGGCCGCCTAAGCCTTTCGGAGAAACCCTCCAGCCCCCCCCCCCCGGGGCTGGGACGCCCCAGAAACGCGGCGTCCTCTTGAGGACGCCGTACGTGCCCATGGCTGCGGCCGGGGCGGAGCAGAGCCGAGGCCTACCGCGCCGTGGTCAAAACTGCTCGGGCGGCCCAGCGCGAGGGAGTGAGGAAGGACTGGGCTGAGGTCGGGCATGTCCCCCTGCAGGCGGAGGTTGGAGGAAAAAACAAGAAATAGCCAAACAGATTCAAACATGATCCAGCACAGTGGGCAAATCGTCCCCAGACATTGTTTGACTACTCCTCCTGTAGAGGTGCACGCCCGACTTCGGACTGGGCAGGGGAGGGGGATGGCGGCCGAATAGAGGCGGCAGGACACTGCGAGCTCTTCCCAAGGACGGGCAAGACGCTGCCCGATGGCCATCATGCACCATGGCGCATCGCGCCACTGCGAATGCCAACTACCGCAAGAACCAACAATGCACGTGCGTCTACGGGCAGGACAAGTCGAGTTTCAAGGATAAGCTTAGTATAGTTAGCCGCTGATGTCGTATTAGTGCCGCTGAGCTCGGCAAATGTAAACAGGAGCAACAGGAACACACAAATGGACAATTGATATGAATGGCACATGGTTCGATCATGTGATTGGCTATAGATTGGACGGCTGCTGGGACTTGTGCGGCTGATATGGGGGCGATTTCACAGGTTCGAACGCCGCTGGACCAGGGCCCCTAATGATAGTTTGTCGTCCAAAAGGTGGCATGCCGAGCTGTCACAACGTGTGCGTGTGTACGTTCGCATGTGTATACATATACATATATGTATACGTGTGTGCCGTGTGTGCTCATAGATGCACATGATACGCTCGCCACCGTGCCGCAGGCACTGGGCTGGATGCCACCAGGTCCTTTCGAGTTCTATGTACTGGGTACCCTGATTTACTATCACGAGGCCCAGACCCCCACCTCACGGATGCCCTGAGGTCTTCGACATGGCGTCTGGGGTGCGCTGTGTCTGAAGCCCCCAAGGTGTACCAAAAAGATCCCAATGCGGTCCATGAGGCTCTGAGGGTATCTTCTGGACGGCCCAACAAGCCCCCAAGACGCCTCGAGAATACCCCAACAGTACCCCAAAAGACCAACATGACGTATGCTCCCGAAGCTTTGACAGATGCTAGCGTTCTCGCCTTCTCTGGTTTTCAACGCTCCAAGACGCCCGAAGAGACCCCTGAGATCGCCCCGAGAAGCCCGCAAGAGAGTCCCAAGACGACCCAAGAGGGCTCCAAGACGGCCCATGAGGCCCCCAAGACGTCCCAGAAGGCCTCCAGAAGGGCCCCAAGAGAGGCCCAAGAGGGGGAGAAGCGAAGGGAACGTTGGGGGCCTTTTCCCAACATGTTGCCCCAAGTGCCCCAACATGCCCCCAAGAAGCGCCCAAAAGGCCCTGGCCAGAGAGGCCCCCGAGAGGCCCCAAGAGCCCCCTCAAGAGGCTTCGGCCCCCGAGAAATATCCCCCAAACTCCCAACCAGTATTCAAGAGGCCTTTGGCCTATACTCCCGACGGGAGTGGTGCTAATTTCACAACACATGAGAACACACATATGTACATTCATACATGCAGAGATGCATACATAAACTCCTGTATATACATATGTGTGCATACATACATACATACATACATACATACATACAAACAAGCATACATGCATGCCTGCCTGCATGCATGCATGCATGCATGCGTGTATACATATATCGATGCAAGCCTACATACATACATACATACATCAATCCATCCATCCATCCAGTCATCCATCCATACATACATACAGACAGACAGACAGGCAGACATACATACATACAGCCATACATACTTACATACATGCATACATACAGACACACATACATACATACATACATACATACATGCATGCATGCATGCATGCATGCATGCATGCATACATACATACATGCACACATATACATACATACAGACATACATACATAATCCAGAAGCCGCATTAAAGTGATCATTTGTTTTTTGGCCCCCCCCCTCTGTCACAGAGGGGGTCAAATATGCCCCCCTTTGTCACAGAGGGGGTCTGAGATGCCCCCCCCCCCCCCCTCTGTCACGGAGGACCTCGTTCTGGGTGCTCTTCTGCCACGGGAGCTCCCGATACGATTGGAGACGATAAAATGTGATAGCGGGATGGGGGATTGGAGGGGGAGGGAGAAGAAAACGATGAAGGAGAGGAGGCAACGACAGCACCGATGAAAGCACCGTTTCTTTTTCCTTCTCCGCTCGGGCAGCGGTCGCCGAGCACGACGGCGCGCGCGAGTCGCCGCCGCTCACGATGCATTGGCAAGGCCTCCGCTGCTGCGGAGGGTCGACGTTCGGCCGATGAGGCCTCCCTCCGCTGCTGCGGAGGGGCGGCTCCTGTGCGATGGTTCAGCTAAGTTTTTCCCAGGGATTGGTTTCGGGGGGGGGTTCGACCCACCTCCAAGTCGTGGTCGCGACCTCCCAGTGCCCCTGGCCGCTACTCCACCCACTGCGGCTGCTCCACCAGTCACTGGGGCGTTGGTCGCTGCCGAATGCAACTTGCATGTCGCGCCAGGCGGAGTCGACCATGCGGTCCTGCAGCGAGGAAGCCTCGCCGCTCGGCTGTTGCCACTCGCGCTCCTCGCCCTCCTTGGTGCGCCACCACTCATCCCTGCGCCACTCCTCGTCTGTTGGTTGCTGCCGTGGCGTTTGTGGCCTCCGCTGCTGCGGGGGCTCTGGCGGCTCGTGGCCGAGGGCAGCGATCGCGTCCGAGATGTAGATGGCGGCGCCGCGCTGCCCTCGCTGCTCCAGCGGCGCAGGCCCTGGAGATGGGCACTGCGGGGTCGGCTGCCACCTTGGGGGTGATAAATAATTATTTCTATATCCCCTCCCTGTCAACTCCCGCCCCTTCCCGACACTCATTTCCTTATGTCATCCCTCGTCCTGCTCAGCCTATTCCTCATTCCCTCTCCTCCCTCCTGCCCTCCCCGTGCTCCACCGCCCCTCTCCCCCCCCCCCCCTTTCAACCCCCCGCCGCGACCTTCCATCGCCAGCCGCGGGCATGTCGCGGCCGTCGTCCGCGCTTTCGTCTGCCCATCTTGGTGGGCGCCACGCCTGTTGGGCGCGCTCGTCTTGCTCGTCCCTCTCGCTGTGCTGCTCTGGTGCCTGGCGCTCGGGTCCGTGCTGCTCGGGCGGCAGCGGCGCCCTGAGCGCAGCTGCCAGCTGTTTCTGGGCGCGCCTGTCCTTCTTCTCTTTGGCTCTCTCCTGCTTCCCTCCCCTGCGAACGCACGCTGGCCATGCGCATTTGGAACAGGAGAGGGTAGTGGGCGCCGCCGTGCCAGCGCCCCTCCACCTCCACGGTCTCTGGCGGGAACGTCTTCTGCAACGCGCGGAAGAGGGTCACCTCGCGATTACTAGAGAAGCGGTGGTCCCCTCTAGCCTCAGCCTCGGCGCGCCTCAGTTTCTCACGCTCCTTCTCTTGGATCTTGCGTTGGCATTCCTCTGACTGAGTCAGTAAATCCTGGAGGTGCTCGCGGGCGTCTTTTTTCGGGTAGTAGCAAGAGTAAGGCATCCCAGGGCCTCCGTTCTGGCTGTGGTGCCAGTACGTCGGCTGCGATGATGGGCTGGTGGAGGCCCCCGCTGCTGCGGGGGCCTCTGCCTTGCTTCTGTTACGGTACCCGATCTCACCGATCACCGACTTGCGTGCGAAGAGCAACCCCGTCTCGTCTCTGTCGTGCACGGCGCTCAGCGGCCAGCACAGGGTGTACTCGCCAGGCCTGTTGAGAACGAAGATGCCGCAGCTGTCCAAGCACGGAGGGCCGTCCAATCCGCGCCAGAAGTACGCTGCTGCCGTCTCCAACCGCATGCCTGGACCCCGAAGACTCGGCAGCGTCTGTGTGAGCGCCATGTTGAAACCCCCACAAAGGATGTCAACGCTGTTGTCCTGCAAGATGGTCGCCAACCTCGGCCACCACGTCTTGTGAGCCTCGTTGAAGCCTCTGGATTTTTTCGCCGTGTCGCGATGGAGGTGCACCGCGCACACCCGTACTTTCGAGCCGAAGTGGGCGTAGGTTTGATCGAAGTAGAGCTCAACCACCATGATCCTCGACAACGCTTCCATATTGCGCCCTCTTGCTGTTCTGTAGTGGCCGTCGACACTCCTTTCCCAGTGGAGCAGCCGCATTTCGTAACACAGATTTGCGCGCGCAGCGATGCACAAGGACTTGTCCTCACGCCCGCGCAGGGTCAAGTATTCGTACTCTGGTCGATTCTGGAGCTGTTGGCAATCGCCAACACTCGCAGCACGACTTCCTCTTGCTGTCGCCATCGCTGCTGCGGGGGCGACAAAAGGCCCACCGCTGCTGCTGCTTTGGCCCTCCGCTGCTGACGCACCCGCTGCTGCGGGGGCGTCCGCCTGCAGCGGCGGTGGTCTCCCTGGCCGCTGTAGGATTGACTCCATCTGCTCCTCACATTCCGCAAAGCACGCCACGAGAGCAGGGCAATGCCGCAGCTGCAACTCAAGTCTCCGCCGCTGGTCCGCGTGGTTGGTCTCGCTCGGCATGGAACCCCAGTTCCCGAACAGGACGGAAAGGTTGCCCACGTTGTCGTTCCGTGGCCTGTTCACGTCAGCCGCTCTTCTTTCGCAGAAGAATTTTGGCGGGACGGTGTCGCGAAGAACGCATTCGCGCCGCTCGACGTCGTTGGGCGGCCTGCAGCCCCTAAATTCCTGAGGCTCTTCGTCATCGCTCGGATCCACCACGGAGTCGCCTGGGCGGGTGCGTATCGTAGAAACTTCTGATCGCGCCGCCGCTGCTGAGCTTGAGACGCCAGGCGGCGCAGCCCCCGCTGCTGCGGGGGTGCCCTCTGGCACAAGGGCCCAAGGACCCTTCCAGGGTTCTGCCTGACCACCTACAGGTCGCCAAACCTTCCCAGATTTCGCTGTGAACACTGCCGTCAGTCGGCCCCGAGGCCCCGCTGCTGCGGGGCCCAATGGGCTGCTGCTGCTGCTGGTGGCCGCGGCCATCGCTCCCTGCCCCCGCGTTGCAGGGGGGGCGGCCGTCACAGCCGAACTCCTGGGGCCGAAACGGCGGTGGAAGGAGGGGGGCGGGGCGAA